GCGGGGCCGCGAGCCCTGCCCAGGGGAGGTGGGCGGCCCGGACCGGGCGGCTGGGGCCTGCTCGTGCGTCCTCCCTCCCGGCCTCGTGCCGACTGAACGTTGGTTCTCGTGCCGGAGAACGCGCGTGTGGGGTGCTCCCCGGGGACCTCTCGCGCCGTCGCTGCCCCGCACCCCTCACTCTGTCTCCTGGGGTGGGGCGCGGCCTTCCGCGGCCTCGTCTTCCCCAGTGGCCGCTCGGCTGGGCTACGCCTGCTGGCGTCTCGTGGAGCCGCAGCAGTGTCCGGGGGCCAGCCCCTGCTCTCCCTGGCCGGCCGGCTTTGCCGCTTGGGGGCCCCGCTCCCAGGGTGCTGCCCTGGGGCGCCATAGCCCAGGAGGAGGCAGCCAGCACTCTCGGGGCACCGGGGACCGCCTCTCCCCGCCTCCCTCCTGACCTCCAGCTCAGAGAGCGCCGCCCCCCACAGCCTCCCCGGCCTGCTCAGCAGACCGGGCCGGCTCCTCTGACCAGCACTGCCCTGCCCGCACCCTGGCTGGCTGAGCTGGTGGCAGGCCCAGCTCTTCCTGCTCGGCGGGGCCTCCCCGGCCTCCAGGCCGCCGGAGCCCCGCCCGCCTCGACCTCTGGGTGCAGCCGGCCGCTGGGCTCAGCTCCGTGGGCCTGCGCCTGGCCCCGCACATGCACTCCAGGCCTCGCTGCCCCTTGCGGCTGGGCAGGGGCGTCTGAGGGCACAGCTGCCCGCCTGTGGGGTTCCCGGCCACCTCGCCCCCAGCGCCTCTCCAGCCCCGGCCCCCCTTGGGGTTTGTTTCAGCCGGGTAAGGAGGGGCCCCGCAGCCTTAGGCTCCCCTGGCCTCAGCCCTCCGCGCTCCCCAGGTGGGCCCCGGCGGGCCCGCTGCCCGAGCTCCGGGGCCTGGACACAGCCTGCGACGCTAGCGGGCTCTGGCCGCTTCCTGCTCCACAGACCTGCACCGGGCCCCGGGGCGGCTGCCAGCTGCGGCGTCTCCCCACGGGGGCAGGCACAGGCCCGGGGCCGGCTGCGCCTCGCGCCGGGCCTCAGAGCTGCGCGGAGGGTTCAGAGCCCTCAGGCCCCGCGCGGAGCTCCTGCTGCCGGGCAGAAGCGAAAGTGCCCTCCGCTGGAAGTATATCTGAGAAACTGACTTTCCGGGGTTTCGCTGTGCTCGAGTGAGCCGCAGCGTCAGCGACGGTGCAGTCGCGTGTCTGCAGGTGACAGCCGGTGACCCACAGTCCACGGCAGCTGTCGCTCGCATTTCAGTTGTTTTCTTTAAAGATGTATTTATTTATGCGCACAGAACCGGGTCCAGGCCAGAGGTGCGGGGGTGAGAGGCTGCCCCAGAGACAGCGGGGAGCAGGACAGGCCGACTGGCGAAGTGCCCTGGGGGTGCAGGGTGAGCCGGAGGGGTCCACGCCCTGGGGTCGCCTCAGTTTTTAGTCAGATCTGAGCCTGAGGCAAAGGCGAGCTCACTTGCAAGTGGGTGGCGCCAGGTGGAGACTTGCAGGTAGTGAAGAAGGGCAGCTGGGGGCACTGCCTGTGCAGGCCGCTGCCCCCGCCCCAGTGTGGCCGCGCGGCCTGCAGCCTGGCCTCCGGCCTCGCTCCGGCCCGGGCGCCCCGTGGTGCCATAGGCCGTCGGTCTGCGGGGGCTACTCGCAGGGCGTGGGAGGACGACGGGCCTGGGAGAGGGGTGGCGGGGGCCGCCGCTGACCGGCCAAGCCGTCGGCAAGGTGCCTGACTCGGGTGCCCACGTGGGCTGCCGGGCGCCTGTGCCGGGCATGGCTGGGGGCCCGGGCTCAGCTGCACCCTCCTTAGTCTCCACGGGGCACTGGCTTGTGCACGGGGTGCCGGGTCTGGAGCCCTGGGTGTGAATGCCCGCGGGGACACCAGCCCACGTGCTGTGCCCGCACGGGGGTGCCCCAGCTGGGCAGCCCAGGCAGTGTCGTGGCCTGTGCCCGCTGGCAGACGCCCGCTCTGGGCCAGGGCTCCCGGAGAGGCAGCAGGGGCGTGTGTGGGCTGACGGGGCTGGGCCAGCTCACGGCGCGGCCTGCGCCTGGGCGCTCCCCTGTGCCCCAAGTCCGGGGCTGTGGACTGCAGGCGACGGGGCAGGAGGGCGGCCCAGAGCTCTCCAGTGGCCTCTGCCGTGAGGGGCAGGTGTGGGTACAGGCAGGGCCCGGGCTGAAGGCCGCTCGCCGTCGGCAGCCCCGAGCCCGCACCTGGCG